CTGTTCTGGCCTTATTTTACTTAATATTTCTTCCAGGTTCATCTGAATTGTTGTAAATGATAGAATTTCATTCTTTTTTCTTGAGGCTTGAACAGTGAGTGTGTGCATATGCGTGCATGCATGTGTATATGTGCACACGTGTGTGTGAGAGTGATGTTTTCTTCATTCATAGACAAAGTTGATTGCTGTATTGGTAATAGGTCATAATGCTGCAGTGAACATGAGAATGCACATTATCTTTTCAACATATGGATTTTATTTTCTTTGTTTAACAAATTTATTTGAACAGACTCATCTAGTGAGGTGTCAGTTACTAGTTCTCTTGGAGGTCTGTAGAGGGTAAGCCAAGCTGGGAGTTGCTGGCATTAAGTAAGAATGGGAAGTAGTTCTAAACACTATATTAAGTGCTAGGAATAGAAAGATAAACAAGTCATTCTTGGTCCCTACCTTTATGGAGCTTGTGGTCTGCTGGGAAAGATGAATGTTACACAGATGATCACGTAATGACACATACATTTAGAAAATGAGAAAAGTTTTGAAGGAAAATCCCCAGATGCAGTGAAACGAGAGTAATGAAGAATTTAATGTATATTGGTGGTGTTAAGGGATCTTTACTCTCTAAAGAAATGCCTAACCTGAATATTCATACTCACAACTTCCTGGCATGAGCAACTAGACAGATAAAAGAGGCTTTTATTAAGATGCGGAAAACTGCATGGAAAATAGTTTGGACAGGAAGGCTGTGCAGAGATGAAGAATTCATGTTCAGCCAGCGTGGTGGTGCACACCTGTAAACCTAGCACTTGGGAGGCTAAAGCAAAAAGATCACCACAAGTTTGAGCCCAGCCTGGGCTGTGTAGTTCAAGATCAGCCTGAACAATATAGTGAGACCCTGACTCAAGAAACAAGTCAAGTTTGAGACATTTATCGAGGTGTCAGTTACTAATTCTGACGAAGGTCTGTAGAGGATAAAGTTGCTAGCATAGAGTAAGATTGGGAAGAGACGAAGACCCAGAGTAGAATCCTGAGTATGTCAGAATCCTAGATTCTGGGTAAAGGAGGGGCCTCAAAGGAAGCAAGACAGAGAGTAACTGGAGAGGGAGACGGTGTGCTAACAAAATGTAGTGTTAGGGGAAACAGGCGAAGATAGTTTCTAAGAAGGAAGAGAACTGCTGGCAAAATCTAGATGATAAATAGAGAAGAAGAGCTAGACAAGTGGCCAGAGGTAACGTCAGCAAAAGTTGTGGTTTCTGTAACCTGGGAATAGAGTTTGCCTAAAATGCGTAATTGTCATTGTACAAAAGAAAGGAAAAGAAAGTGCTCTAAAGGATATAACTGCATGCATATTTAAGTGTATAAGATAGATAACCATATTACTGAGTTTTGTTGGATCATTGAACAGAATTATTTGCAGTCTCACTGTTTGTCCACTTTATATGCTTTAATTTTGTAACTTCAGCAACTATTTCTAAGATGACAATATGTAATCTATTAACTAGTGATTTCCTACTGTTTATTTTTTCTGAAATTCTGTATAACTTGTACCCTTTTTCTGTTTTTTTTCTCCTTAAATAAAATTTTTTTAAAAAGGAAAAAAAAAATAAAATGGTTAAAGGGCAAATGTCAAGTGAGGAATGAACCCTGTGTCTTGTTGGTTCTGTGGGGAAACTTGGCTGTAAAGATGAATCAAATACTACAACCAGGTTTTGTTTGGCTTTAATTCTTTTTTAAATTCTGGAAGATACTACAGCACATCTGATTAGAAGGAGAGAATAGACAAGAAGATAACACCAGAGGGGACAGTGAGAGTCTCTACTAGACTTAGGCCACCTGTGGGGAACTGACCTTTTGGGGAGAAGTGGGCTGTTTTCTGTTGTTTGTTTCAGGACTAGAGAAGAGGGGTTAGGTACAGATCAAAAATGAGTTTGCATGTTTAGTGGTGAGGACATCCTCTGTGATACTGCTTCTCGCTCTTAAGTAACACAAGATGACAGAGGGAATGGGGAGGGAGGGAAGCTGGAAGGGTGTGGTAGGCAGTGTTGAAGGTATGAAATGGCATCCTGCAGAGTGAATTGGAGAGTGGTAGTCATCACAGAATTAGTTTACTTTTTCCACCAAGGCACTATCGCATGAAGAATGCTGAGTGTTTGGCCAAACACCAGCTCTACCACTTGCTGTCGTGTGAGCCTCAGTTTCCTCATCTCAAAGCAGGGGTCAGTACCTGCCTCATGGGGTCTCTGTGTGTGAGTTAAGATGTATGTCCCGAGGCTTACACAGTGGCTGGTACATAGTAAGAATTTAAAGTATTATTTAACAAGAAGAGAGAGACTGAGTGAGTGAGTGTGTAGAGAGAGAGATTGATTGATTTAGTTATATTGTGGGAAAATACTCTCTTTCTGGCTATAATGATTCTGTAGAAGATCTTTTCCTGTCCCTAAAGGCAAACAGTTAAGAGCTAACCTGTTGAAGAGTAATTTTATTCGGTGGAACAATATATGATATGATACATGGAAGAGCTTTTGCTCAGTTGTTCTTACCGTCAGAAACACTAAAGCTAGGGACAATTTTCTTTCAACAACTCACTTGGATTAGGGGTTGAAAACTTGAACTTTATTCCCAATTTACTGGATAGCACTCATGTTTATTTCTGCCTTTGTGCTGTCTCTCCATCCATAAAGTAAGGGTAAGGCGTAAAGATCCAAAGCCTGGGAGCACTAATTAGAAACCTGAGATAAAACTATTTGTGCCCGATGTGCTCTGTTCATTATGTAGAAAATACCTGTTGATCAAGGTCAGGTGAATTGTGACAAGAAGAAATTTTATGTAGGAATACTTTGAAAATTAAAGTATTTTATGTTGACAGCATTACTATTAGAAACAACCTTTGCTAACAGCTCATCATAAATGCCTGGAAAATAAATAAGATGATTTGATGTTTGTAATTTGTTTTGTATGTGTTTGGAAAAAGACAAATGCCAGGTGTTTATATTCTAGGAGACACTGAATAGTCACAGGACCCAACTGTATTCTTAGTACATCATGCTGAGTATTATAGAAAAACCAAAGGCCTTGCAAACAAGGTTCTTGTCCTCAAAGAACACACAGTCTTCCAAGAGAGGTGAAATGTACACATAGGATTATTTACTGTATGAATTGAGTTTTGTAATATGTGATACAGACAGAAAGTACCAACGAGTTACAGGACAGGTATATAGATGGTAACTGCTTTCTTTTCCCAAGGTGTAAAGGCTTTCTGATGGTTTTGTCCACGCACGATTCATTTGCTACTTCTATTCTACCTGTAATTTCTGATGTTTAGTGAGAAGTCACAAAATGGTTTATGATCCTATGTGTTAAATTTGACAACTGTAATCCATTATATGTACTCTAAACTGGAAAAAAAATTCTGAAAGGTAGTAGGGGATAAAAATATAACCTTAAATATAATTAAGACCAAAATGTTTCTAGAATGCTTTCTCCCGAGGTCAGCATAAACACATTTCATAATGCTTTATTCTAGTACTGTTTCCTGCTTTATTAAAAAAGGAGAAAATGTAATTTTGTGCACTTACAACTTACACAAATCCCTTCAGTGTTCCAGGTCAAATGGTTGGGACTGTTTGCAAATTTCTAAATGAAGAAATGGACATTTAATACTTGACAGTGACCATACTGCCAATACGTAGATCATAACTCAGTGGTCACAAACCTTTTAGAGCTTTCAGTGATCCAGATAGCCCACTATGGCACTCATGATATTGGTTCATCACCACTGTTTTAACCAGTCCTCCCTCAAAATATCCGTAGGCTATAACACCTGAGCTATTTCCAACTTTTCATTCTTTAGCTATTAATTCTGTACCTAAGGTTTACCTTCAAAACTGTAATCCCTCCATCAGGAAGAGAGTTGTAGATGAAGGGGAGGACGATGAATGATTAGGAAAAACCATAGTGGAATTCCTCTGGAGGGAGCAGTAACTTGAATACCTGGGTTTTCCCTGAACTAGCCCTGGTCTCCCTAAATGAAAGGTTTTCCCTCTAGCTAGGCATGAGAATATTTTCTTGACATTTATTTATTTGATTTTTTTTTTTTTTTTTTTTTTTTTTTTGTCTTTTTCCTTTTTATCGGTACTGGGGATCGAACTCACAACTGCCTGCTTGCAAGGCAGGTGCTTATGCCGCTGAGCTAAATCCCCAGCCCCTGACATTTATACGTCAGGGTACCTTAAAAATTGACTCAAAAAATACCTTAGCTTTCAAAGATGTTCTTTTACCTTCAAAATTGTGAATCATTCCCATGCATACCCATGCCTTTAGTCCCTGTTACTAAGCAGTGGGAATTCAAGACTTAGTTTCAGCATAATTTAATAGAAAGATCATAGAAATGAGAGGACAGAACTGATTGCATTTGGTATTGGCTCAGTCTTTGTTTTCAGAAGTACCTCCTTTAATGTCCTTTTACCCTTGAGGCTCTGAAAAAATAAGCATAGATTCATTTACTTCATGGTTTGAAATTGGGTGAGTTTGTTACATTTCAGTGCCATTGTTTGCCACCAGAGCTGAAAACCAGAGTCACTGTGGATTTCCTGGATCCAATGCTTCCAAAGCATTGTTCTTTTTTTTTTTTTTTTTTTTTTTTAAGAAAAACACTAGTTTTCAGAAATAGAGAAATAGAAGAGAGACTATATAACTAAAGGTAAAACTGTTTTTCTCCTCTGCTTACAAATGTCTGGTCAATTCTGCTGGTAGGAGAGAAATGTATGCAGGATACAAAGTCTTAATCACTATTTAGTTGCTTTAGCATTAGAGCCTATGGGACAGAACAAGAGCATTGCCCTTTCCTTTAACCCTGGTGAAAGCTGAGAAATGAGCTAGCTGCTACTTTACTGAGTTGCTGTTTTGACCTTGGTCCTGTTGTATAGGTGTTCTATGTCTCGTTTTTGTTCCAACTTTTCTTTTTTCTTGTGGGGGTGGCTTTTTTTCCACAGTGTACCCTGGAGATGCGAGATTTTCCTTTGGCAGTAGGAGGCACACACCCAGAGAATGCGGGAGCTGCAAGGGGAAAGGACCCAATTCCACAGCAAAGAAAAACAAAGAGAAAAAAGGCATACAGGTAGCCAGCACTAAGGGACGCACCAAGAAAGCAGTGAGCCACTGCTGCTACTTCCAGCAGCTCCTTCTGCTGCAGCCCGAGAGGAACTCGGTGAGCCGATCCCCACTTGAGACTGCAAGCTCAGGATTTCAATCAATGCATTCCAGTAATCCTAAAGTGAGGAACTCTCCATCAGGAAATACACAGAGGTAAGGGCCAGAGTCTCTCTCTGCCACTCACTGGGGTGTCATAGGTGAACCATATTCAGTGAAGAAATAGTATGTTGAGTTAGAAGCAAATGGGATCCAAATGGGAAAGGAAGAGAAAAAAATAAATAGTAATAGAATAGTATAGGCTAGTAAAACTTGTTAGAGTTTTCTTGTGTTATTCTTTTACCCATCATTCCCTGACCTTTCCCCTGTACCAGCCCCCTCCTTGACAAAGCACAAACAAAAAAAACTTAAAAGACCAGCTAGTAAGGTGATGGTAAACCTTTTAGAGACCAAATGCCCAAACTGCAACCCAAAATCCACTGATTTATCGCCAAGTACCAATGCTGCAATTCAACCTGAACACTGAGGTTCTTGTTTAGAAAAAACAACTTTACATCAACATTTTTTGCACGTGTGCCATAAATTTGCCACCACGGAACTAGTACAACCTGCTAAGCGGGGTGTATGAGAGAACAGGTATAAAGTAGTGAGGAGGCCTAAGATTCTACCTGCCGTGTGAGGACTTTCCTCTGTTCCACCAAAAGAATTTTTCCTCCCCACAAGGGCAATGGTTGGTTGATACTATTGTGGCATAAAGCTGCCTGCTGAGAAACATTTGCATCCTGGAGGGTTTCCTCGACCTGACAGGCTTCTGTAGATTTTCTGCCTGCTGTCTTGATCTGCTCACATTTTCCAATAGGCAAACTAGGCTCTCATTATAGCTGTTCTTTGTCTTTAGCTGGGAGGTGGGTAGTATTTTGATCTGAATGATGCCTGTTTGTTTACCCTGAGCTAGTCTTAGTGTTAGAGTCACTTCTCTGTGTACATAGAAACCATTTTCCTGTATTGACAGAAGCCTTAGAGATGGGTCCCCATGTGACTGTAGGGTTCCTGAGACCTGGCAGGCCACTGCTTGATCCTCTTCTCTGTTGATACCTCTGATATGGGAGCCAGGGTGGAGGGAACAAGCAAGGCTTAAGGGAAATGTGGGATGGTGGTATAGTCCTTAGGGTTCTTTGTGACCCACAGTGGAAACTGCTATTCCCTAATTTGTGCTGGTCAGCTGTATCCGGGTATCTGATCTCCCTTTGTTATTTGTTTCTTTTAGTAGCCCTAAGTCAAAGCAGGAGGTGATGGTCCGTCCCCCTACAGTGATGTCCCCATCTGGAAACCCCCAGCTGGATTCCAAATTCTCCAATCAGGGTAAACAGGGGGGCTCAGCCAGCCAATCCCAGCCATCCCCCTGTGACTCCAAGAGTGGGGGCCATACCCCTAAAGCACTCTCTGGCCCAGGTGGGAGCATGGGGCTGAAGAATGGGGCTGGAAATGGTGCCAAGGGCAAGGGGAGAAGGGAGCGAAGTATTTCCGCCGACTCCTTTGATCAGAGAGATCCTGGGACTCCAAACGATGACTCTGACATTAAAGGTATGTCTATAAGATCTTTGAGAAGTAGGTGTTCCTAAGGGAAGACCGCTGACATTTGGTAAAGGCCAGAGAGGCTAGTATCAGTCAGTGGGGAGAATAGGTATCAGATTTAGGAGTTCTTTTTCTACTTGCCATAGCATGGAACTACCTTGTTGAAGAGTTCCCACTCTTGAAGATGTACATGGTTTGGTAGGATGTCTCATGAGTCTAACCACATTCTTATGTATGTTTCTGGCCTGTGTGCTATCCTGCCTCACTTTCAAGCCATTATCTCTGTCTATGCCAGTGGCCCACACCAGAACAGTTATTTTGGCATCCATTCCTCTTCTCCAGAGCAATCCTCCAAGCCTTTGGTTTTGCGCTTTCTGGTTGCCACTTTGTCAGACTTGTAGACACAGAGGAAGCCTTAATGACCCTGGCACTAGTCCAGATTTGTCACTGCCAGTTTTAGTGTGACAGGAATGAGTGGCTACCAGATGTGGTGGAGATTTGGCAGGCACCAAAATGGAGTGAGCCAGGAAAGGAGTATGGTATGTGTAATTTTCCTCCCTTGTATAAGACCACAGATCTTAAACTATAGGCCAGAAAATGAAGATAGTATTTGGGAAATGGAAGTATGTTTTCCCAACCCAAATTAAAAATGCAAACCTGGTTGATTGTTCTCTTCTTTCCTGCATGCTGCTCTCCTTACTCCTTCCCCAGGTGTGAGAAGGCTTCCTTGGTTTAGAGAGTGCCATGATCAGCAAGACAGACAACAATTGCTTAAAGATTTGAGTGTATCTAGAAAACTGATCATTAAACAATTAGAATAAAATTTGATAAATGCTGAATAAGAGAAGTTAGGGGACCTTGAGATCAGTTAGTGGCATCTAGTCAAGTTCAGAAAGTTGCTAAGAAGGAGAAACAGCTATGTTAATCTGAAAGATATGTAACAGAATTAGGAAGAGGAGGAGTGCTTTATAATGAGGCATTTAAGGAGATGAGTATTTGAAATGTTATGAATAGAAGAAAAGGTTCTCTCTTAGTAAGAAACTTGCTCCTTGAAATCCTCATGGTGGGTTTGTGTTGTGATGTTGTAAATGCTGGCAGAAATGAAAAGGAGTTTTACTCTATGACAATGAGTCTTTTCATTCCTTTAGAATGTAATTCCACGGAACACATAAAGTCCCAGGATTCCCAGCACACACCACATTCGATGACCGCATCAACTACTACAGTTCCCAGGTCTTCCACTCCCTCCCATGGCCAAACTACTGCCCCAGAGCCCACACCTGCTCCGAAGACACCAGCCAAAGTGGTATATGTGTTTTCTACTGAGATGGCCAATAAGTAAGTGGATGGCTGGGTTGGCTTCTATGTGTGGGAACCTAAATTCCCATTGCAGTGGTCTTTTTTTTTTTTTAACTCAGTTGTATTATATCGTGTAAAGTTAATAGAACAAAAAGAGGTAAAATAAAATACAAATCTCTACCCTACTTCCAAGAAGCATCTGCTGATAATACTTGGCTTTTCTTTCAGAAATTTTTGTAATTACACAAGTGTACACATACACCTTTTTTGAATACAGAAAAGCTTGACTGAGTAATACACACTTTTCTTTCTACTGTTGTGTAGGTTACTATTTATCAACTGATTGATAACGGTAGTGGGGATTGAACCCAGGGCCTTCTCACTGAGCCATACATCCCTTCCTATCTTTGAGACTGGGTCTCACTGAGTTGCCCAAGCTGGGCCTGAACTTGTGATCCTTTTGCTTCAGCCTTCCAGAGTATTAGGATTAGAGATTTGCACCATCATGGTCCACTGTTGTTCCTTTTCAGATACCAAAATAATAAACATAGTAAGGTAATTAGAAAATACAACTAAAAAGGAAAAAATCTACGATTCACAGATAACTACTGTGAACACCTTGCTATCTGTGTTTCTGATGGATAGGTGAACCAATGAATTTTTTATTTATTTGTCAAAAAACACCCTGCACATATTTTTTTTTTTCACATCAGATAAAAGGTATATATCAACAACCTTAGACTAGTCCTGTCCCTCGGTATTAAGATTTTGTGTTCACTCTTCTCAGTTTGGGATTTTGAAGTAATATTCTCTATAAAACAAATAACGAAAATGCGTTTTTCTTGATTTCTTCTCATTCAGCATTTCAGACAGCTCTTTATATGTATGTCTCTTTTCCTTCCCTTACAAGTCCAGTCTGGGTTTAAGTGTTTGAGATTACAGTAAATAAAACAAAAATGAGTCCTAGTATGTGTTGTCTCTTCTGTATTTGTAGAGCTGCAGAAGCTGTACTGAAGGGCCAGGTTGAAACGATCGTCTCTTTCCACATTCAGAACATCTCTAACAGCAAGACAGAGAGAAGCACAGCCCCTCTGGTATGTTGTTTTAGTTATGGAATATTGACTAAGTTCTACAGTGACTGCCAATGAGGGTGGGTGGTGAGTTAAATTGTCAGGGGATAGTTAGTCTTGTTGGCATGAGCTGCATTCTGGGCCCTTAACCTGGCCTTATGGGGTCTTAAGCATGTCTCTGTACTAGATTTTTAACCGAGATGCTGGGAGCCTGATGAGTTACTAGAGGAAAAAAGATGCAAAATAAAGAAGAATCTTACAAATTGTTTAGGATTTTCTTTGTGTAACCCATCCCTAGGAAAATCCAAATTCCAAACCCATTGACAGAGCAGGTTTTAATAAACAACTAAAATGGGCACAGTGGCAAACACCTGTAATCCCTGGACTGAGGGTGGCTCAGGTAGGAGGATCACAAATTAGTCTTGTCTGGGTAACTTAGCAAGACCCTACCTCAAAATTAAAAAAAAAAAAGGACTGGGGTTTTAGCTCATGACAGAGCACCCCTGGGCTCAATTTCCAGTGTAAACAGCCCCCTTAAAGTCCCCAAACACCCTTAGAGTTAGTTGAACACAGAAAAAAGCAACAATTAAAACTGTGCTATTGTAGGACATGATAATTCTGCAGTTAGAATCTTAGTGATTGAGATCATTGTTATTTCAAGTGAGAATGATGAAATGCTTCTTAACTGCTATTTCTAAAATTATAATAAATATTAATCTATTTCCTGTTGGGATCTTAAGCACCTACTACAGCTGCATTTGTAAAAGCATGTGGTATTTAGTTTAACACATCTAAGTGGCCAAATTGAAATAACATTTCTTATGTCTAGCATTTTTAGTGCATGCTCCAAATGCTATGGATAGACTGTATTCATAGCATTTGGATAGCCCATCAAGACAGCCCCTGCTTTTAGAACGCCTAAAATCTGACACTGCTGGGTCTTAAAAATAAGAGAAAAGTTAAATAACCTTAAGTGATCAAAGTTATAATTCAAGATAAAATAGATGACACCTTGTATATTTTATGTATCAGAAATCTCCATCTCTGTGGATTAGCAGAGCTTGAGCTTTCCTAGATTTAGAGAAGGGATTTCCTATTCCTCATGCATCTCTACTCAAGGGTAGAGGATGGATATCTTGTATGTGAAATGCTTCTTGTCCTGGAGTGCATGAGTACATTGCAACTCAGTCCAGTAGTCTGTTGATGTATTGAGAGTACTTAATACAGTTGTCACCTCCACTTTTTCTGGTACTAAAATGAAATCAGAATAACAGTTAAAGAGGGAATTCATGATAATCCATTTCTCCAAACCTAAAAGGAAAGACAAATGGGGCTAAATGATTTCTTCTGTTATAGTTGCTTAGTGAAATCAGTACTCAACTGCAATAAACAAATCCTGATCAACAAAATCAAGGGTAAAATGGTTTTAGAAAGAAAATTAAGGTGACCACTAAATGAACTGCAGGTGCGGAAGGCACTTTTGATCAAACAAATTTAGCAAATCTTACCTTCACAAATCTGCAGACAAGTATGCATTGTATTGTTACCTCGAAGTGAAATATATTTCCCCCCACAAAACGCAAACGGTCCAAGCTATGATTTTGTGTATATGAAACCAAACTCTTCATGGGCATAGGTAAACATAATGACTTGTGTACAGATTCATATACAGGTAAATAGGATGGTGAGGGCAAGCCTTAGGAGTTTGGGAAAACAGTTACATTAAGAGAATAAGAAAAGGAAATGTATCAGGCAGCTCACTAGAGGCAAGTGAAAGATTGCTGAGACAGTTTGTAAACTAGGCCTTTCTGTACCCTAAAGTCTCAACTTTACTAAAATTGAGACTTAGAACATGTACATCATCCTCCAAATAGTCATGGTGTCCACATCACCTGTTGTAGGTGAGTGTGCATATATCCAGGACTTAACATAGCAGTGGTATTTAATAAATAATAATAAGGCAATCATCCAACTTGTTGAAAAGGGTAGCCTGATGTCTATTGGAAAGAATAGATCAAGAGACACCATGAGCAAGGTAGCCTCAGATTTCTTCCCAGATGCTTCCTGCTTGCAGATTATCTTACTGCAATTAGTGTACAAATTCTTATCAAATACAGAATCAGTGATCACAAACTGAAAACAGAAACTAGAGAAGTCAAGCCCCCTGGAAACTCAAGGAAGACAGTTCGTTAGTAGTCATCTTGCTAGAGGAAATGTTAAAGTGAAGCAGCCTTCCCTGCTGCCTGTGGCTGGTACTGTAAAGCTGCAAGTGACTTACACTTTCCCTTTCAGTTAGAAACATCAGACCTTCTGACTGACAATGAGAAGTCTGCATACCCAGTTGTACTTCAGAGAAAAGAAAAAGGTGTTGAACATAGCCTCCCACATACCAAGAAAGTAATCTTTGACTGAATCAAAAATACATAGTAGACATGTGATATCAAACCTGTTCCTCGAAATAGATACTCAAATGTATTCACTTTGGCAGAGTGGCTTTCACCTGGTATGCTTATAAAGTTATTGAAACCTCATCTTCAGCATAGGAGAAAGGATGCTATTTGACAGTAAGGTTTGAAAAATAAAAAGATCTCCAAGGCCAAAGAAGGCTTGTATACCATCACTTTGGAAAGCAGGTATCAATGTAGATTTAAGTGACTGAAACAAGTCCTTATAACATACTTTGTTCTTTTAATTGACCTTCTGGTCAGTTTACCAATGATTTAAAAATCTTGTTTATCTTTAGAACACACAAGTATCTACTCTTCGGAATGATATAAAACCTCTTCCACAACAACCCCCAGCTCCAGCCAACCAGGACCAGAATTCTGTTCAGAACACCAGACTGCAGCCAACTCCACCCATTCCAGCACCAGCACCCAAGCCTGCAGCACCTCCACGCCCCTTAGACCGGGACAGTCCTGGGGTAGAAAATAAATTGATTCCTTCAGTGGGAAGTCCTGCCAATTCTACTCCACTGCCCCCAGATGGTACTGGGCCAAACTCGACACCCAACAATCGAGCAGTAACCCCTGTCTCCCAGGGGAGCAGTAGCTCTTCAGCAGATCCCAAAGCCCCCCCACCTCCACCAGTGTCCAGTGGTGAGCCCGCCACACTGGGAGAGAATCCTGATGGCCTGTCTCAGGAGCAGCTGGAGCACCGGGAGCGTTCCTTACAAACTCTCAGAGATATCCAGCGAATGCTTTTCCCTGATGAGAAAGAATTCACAGGAGGACAAAGTGGAGGACCTCAGCAGAATACTGGGGTATTAGATGGACCTCAGAAAAAACCAGAAGGGCCAATACAGGCCATGATGGCTCAATCCCAAAGCCTAGGTAAGGGACCTGGGCCCCGAACAGATGTGGGAGCTCCATTTGGCCCTCAAGGACATAGAGATGTACCCTTTTCTCCAGATGAAATGGTTCCGCCTTCTATGAACACCCAGTCTGGGCCCATAGGACCCGACCACCTGGACCATATGACTCCTGAGCAAATAGCGTGGCTGAAATTGCAGCAGGAGTTCTATGAAGAGAAGAGGAGGAAGCAGGAACAAGTGGTTGTCCAGCAATGCTCCTTGCAGGATATGATGGTCCATCAGCATGGGCCACGGGGAGTGGTCCGAGGGCCTCCGCCTCCATACCAGATAACCCCTGGTGAAGGCTGGGTCCCTGGAGGTACAGAGCCATTTTCTGATGGCATCAACATTTCACATTCTCTGCCCCCAAGAGGCATGGCTCCTCACCCCAACATGCCAGGGAGCCAAATGCGCCTCCCTGGATTTGCAGGAATGATAAACTCTGAAATAGAGGGGCCAAATGTCCCCAACCCAGCATCTAGACCAGGTCTTTCTGGAATCAATTGGCCAGATGATGTGCCAAAAATCCCAGATGGCCGAAACTTCCCTCCTGGCCAGGGTGTATTCAGTGGTCCTGGCCGAGGGGAACGCTTTCCGAATCCCCAAGGATTGTCTGAAGAAATGTTTCAACAGCAGCTGGCAGAAAAACAGTTGGGTCTTCCCCCAGGGATGAGTATGGAAGGCATCAGGCCCAGCATGGAGATGAATAGGATGATCCCAGGTTCCCAGCGCCATATGGAGCCTGGAAATAATCCCATTTTTCCTCGAATACCAGTTGAGGGTCCTCTGAGTCCTTCAAGAGGGGACTTTCCTAAAGGAATGCCTCCACAGATCGGCCCTGGTCGGGACCTGGAGTTTGGGATGGTTTCTAGTGGGATGAAGGCAGATGTCAGTCTAAATGTCAACATGGCATCCAACTCTCAGATGATACCTCAGAAGATGAGAGAGGCTGGGGCGGGTCCTGAGGAGATGATGAAATTACGCCCAAGTGGCTCAGACATGTTGCCTGCCCAGCAGAAGATGGTGCCACTACCATTTGGTGAGCACCCTCAGCAGGAGTATGGTATGGGCCCCAGGCCATTCCTTCCCATGTCTCAGGGTCCAGGCAGCAACAGTGGCTTACGGAATCTCAGAGAACCAATTGGGCCCGACCAAAGGACTAACAGCCGACTCAGTCATATGCCACCACTACCTCTCAACCCTTCTAGTAACCCCACTACCCTCAACACAGCTCCTCCAGTTCAGCGTGGCCTGGGACGAAAGCCCTTGGATATATCTGTGGCAGGCAGCCAGGTGCATTCCCCGGGCATTAACCCTCTGAAGTCTCCCACGATGCATCAAGTCCAGTCCCCAATGTTGGGCTCACCCTCGGGCAACCTCAAGTCCCCCCAGACTCCATCACAGCTGGCAGGCATGCTGGCAGGCCCAGCTGCTGCTGCTTCCATTAAGTCCCCCCCAGTCTTGGGGTCTGCTGCTGCTTCACCTGTTCACCTCAAGTCTCCATCACTTCCTGCTCCGTCACCTGGATGGACCTCTTCTCCCAAACCTCCCCTTCAGAGTCCTGGGATCCCTCCAAACCATAAAGCGCCCCTCACAATGGCTTCCCCAGCCATGCTGGGAAGTGTAGAGTCAGGTCAGTATGCTTACATCCTCACAGTTCACTTGCAGCTATAAATTATCAGAGCCTGATTTAGTTACTTTAAGAAAATTGGTGTGTTAACTTGGTTATGCAATCAGGGGTAGCAGTCTTTGTCCAAATTTATGGCAAGGTATATAATAATACTTTTGTAGGGTTATGTAGGTGTCCAATCCTGGCAAACAATACATATGTTAGATGGGACTGTTGAAAGAAGGGAAGATGAGAAATATATGTCAGTTCCTAGACTACATTTATATAGTGAACATAAACTGGTAAAATAAAATGTTTAAATAGTGGAGAAACACAGCTTCCTTAAATACTGGACCCACCCAGGAAGGCTACCATCAGGTGAGGAACTTCTGAGTATAATGCTAAGCAAAGACAGGAGAGGGTTCTTTAAAAGAGTTGCAGGGTTCTTGTCCATGTAAACAGTTACCAGAATGTTGTCTTTGACAGACTGATGTTCTCACATATCAACTACAATTTATAGGTATTTTCTTCCTAGGAGAGACTCTCACTGCTGGTGGTTTTGTGAATGGGACCAGAGGTGGTCAGTGGAAGTAGCACTGGGGTATAAATACTGGGTTGGTTCGTCTCCATTTGAGAAATACTAGAATCAGAATAAGACAGAAGATTTATCCCACCAAGCTAAAGTGTCTCTCGCTCTGTGGGATAGCAATTCACTGAAGCAATAGAGTGGAATAGCCAGCCCCCTTAGACCTTTTTAGCTCAAACATCTTGGTTGGAGGAATTAATCAAGAGAGTATGTGGGTGATGTGGCTAGTACCTGGGGTTGGAACACTAGTCTGGCTAATGGCATTCTAATACCCGAGCCAATTCTGGACTCTGATTGTGATTGGTCTGTTAATCTTGCTTTCCTCAACCTTGAACTAGTATTTCTAATGCACTCCAGGCATGTTTGTCTTCACATCTGCTGATCAGTCACCTCTGTATCACACTGCCATCTCTCTCTGCACACACACAGAACTTGACTAGAAGATTGATGATTGTGTTCTGGGTCTAATAACACTGTCCTGTTCATCTGTCTCATTCTGGGCTTGCTAGTTCATAATCATAGATCCTGATAGCCTTCAAAAGGAATCTAATTTTCTGCCCGTTTTTGTTTAATTTTGCTTTGTTCTCTTAGGTGGCCCCCCACCTCCTACAGCCAGCCAGCCTGCCTCTGTGAATATCCCTGGAAGTCTTCCTTCTAGTACACCTTACACAATGCCTCCAGAGCCAACTCTTTCCCAGAACCCACTCTCGATTATGATGTCTCGAATGTCCAAGTTTGCAATGCCCAGTTCTACCCCATTATACCATGATGCCATCAAGACTGTGGCCAGCTCCGATGACGACTCCCCTCCAGCTCGTTCTCCCAACTTGCCATCAATGAATAATATGCCAGGTAATAAATAAGAAAAATGGGCTGTGGAGCTGGTGCTGGACAAAAGAGAAATTGCATGAAGTGTTTTCTCAATAGCTGTAAATAGGTGGAAGTTAAACAAGTTAAAAAATGTATCATCTAAATTAGTTTCAGGTAGAGTTAAAGTGCCTGACTAGAGAAAGATAATACTGCATTAACTTGATTCTGTATTTTTGGTGAGAATGCCAGGTTCCTTGTAGTTCTGTTGCTTCTACCTGGATTGTTGGTTTTGGTTTTAGTTGTTTTTTGTTTTGTTTTGTTTTTCTTTGTGGTTCTCTTGTAGCAGTAATAAGCCAGGTTTGTTTGTTTGTTTTGTTGGTTTTTTTAACATGCTGATTGGAATCTCTTTAGTTTTTAAGTATTTTCCTGGAAAGGCCATCTCAAACCATATGCCAGCTGCAGAATTTCAGACAATGGAAAATCCCTGTTTCCTAGAGGAGCACGTTGTTTAGGGGTGGAGAGAGCAAATTTTTCCTTTTCCTGTTTGCATTCCTATACCCACCCGCACCCCAACCCCAACTTCACCAACAGGAAATGATCTGGAAGGGTGAAGGTGATCCACAAAATGACTGTGGGTTTCAACCATAGGTGTCTGGTTCCAGTTGGTATTCTGATGGTTAGGAATGCTGTTTATTCATCAGCAGCCCAAATTAACCAGGTTAGGACATGTTCCCTGAGTGGCACAAACACCATTCCTCCTGCAGTTGGTGTAATTTCTTAGAGAAACCAAATAGTTAAATGTCTAGAGACTTATTGCAGAAACTGTGCATTTCTTTTTTTATTAAAAGATACAGTTTTTTAGCACTTTATGTAATCTATAAAGTTTTAAATGCTCTATTTATGAGGCAGTATAAAATAATGTCAGTGGGGGAAAAAAGACCTATTTGGTTTGTCTTTTTATTTTTTTTAAATTGGCCCCATAGAATGATTTATCATTTCTTCAGAAAAGGGTTATACTTAAATCCTTAAGGCACATTGCTTTTTTCTGTTTTGAATATTATTTGCTTATTAGAACTTTTCATATAGAATTTCTCCCTTGCTATCTTTACAATCATATCATAGTTTTTCAGAATCTATTCCCTTGTAGAGGTGTTGGTTTGTGTGCCTCCAAGTATGTTATAATCTTACTGATGGTAGAGATTCTGTGTTGTATATTTTCCAGGGTAAGACTACTTACAATAGGTGCTCAATGATTTTTCGTTAAATTGCTTTATTACAGTTTTTTTTTTCCTCAGTTGCTTTTGGTTGAGTTGATTCCTTTGATATCTTTATTTTTCTAGGAATGGGCATTAATACACAGAATCCTCGAATTTCAGGTCCAAACCCCGTGGTTCCGATGCCGACCCTCAGCCCAATGGGAATGACCCAGCCACTTTCTCACTCCAATCAGATGCCCTCTCCAAATGCCATGGGACCCAACATACCACCTCATGGAGTCCCAATGGGGCCTGGCTTGATGTCACACAATCCTATCATGGGGCACGGGTCCCAGGAGCCTCCGATGGTACCTCAAGGACGAATGGGTTTTCCCCAGGGCTTCCCACCAGTGCAGTCTCCTCCACAGCAGGTTCCATTCCCTCACAATGGTCCCAGTGGTGGACAAGGCAACTTCCCAGGAGGGATGGGCTTCCCAGGAGAAGGCCCCCTTGGCCGTCCCAGCAACCTGCCCCAAAGTTCAGCAGATGCAGCACTTTGTAAGCCTGGAGGCCCAGGGGGTCCTGACTCCTTCACTGTCCTAGGGAACAGCATGCCTTCAGTGTTTACAGACCCAGATCTACAAGAGGTCATCCGACCTGGAGCCACCGGAATACCTGAGTTTGATTTGTCCCGCATTATTCCATCTGAGAAGCCTAGCCAGACACTGCAATATTTCCCTCGAGGAGAAGTTCCAGGCCGTAAACAGCCCCAGGGTCCTGGACCTGGATTTTCGCACATGCAGGGGATGATGAGTGATCAAGCCCCCCGAATGGGACTAGCATTACCTGGCATGGGAGGTCCAGGGCCAGTAGGAACTCCAGACATCCCTCTTGGTACAGCTCCATCCATGCCAGGCCATAACCCAATGAGACCACCAGCCTTTCTCCAGCAAGGCATGATAGGACCTCACCATCGGATGATGTCACCAGCACAATCTACAATGCCTGGCCAGCCCACCCTGATGAGCAATCCAGCTGCTGCCGTGAGCATGATTCCTGGCAAAGATAGGGGGCCTGCAGGGCTCTACACCCACCCTGGGCCTGTGGGCTCTCCAGGCATGATGATGTCCATGCAGGGCATGATGGGACCCCAACAGAACATCATGATCCCCCCACAGATGAGGCCCCGGGGCATGGCTGCTGATGTGGGCATGGGTGGATTTAGCCAAGGACCTGGCAACCCAGGAAACATGATGTTTTAAGCTGCTAAGATTGGATGTGCCGATCCTTGTCAAGATGAGATTCCAGGTCCTGAGAGCTGCTTTGAAGGGAGTTCCAGGCATACTTACTATTGGTCATGCAATAGGAGAGAACAGAGACCTGAGGGCTGCTTTGGGGGAGGGGGGAACTTGAGAATGTATGGATTTACCTAAAAACAAATTATTCATTTAATCAACAGGTGTGTTTTTTTTAAGATTTATTTTTTAAAAATTATTTTTGTGGACTTGGGTATCCCATGATGGCACCTACTTTTGGAAATCTGTAGCTGTGCTTTGAGAATTGCCATCGGTCATGTGTTGCACCGTTCTCTGTATGTTTACGTCCTTTGGACTGACTTCTCCCAGGATTCTTTTTCTGTTTTTGTTTTTTGATTTGGGCTTTTTTATGTGTACTGTACTATATTGTAAAAGGGATTTTAGCAGAGACTTTAGTCTTTGGGACAAGAGGAGAACAGGAATGCTGGGCTGTTTACTTTAGGTGGAGAATCCATCTTCAGACCTTTGGACTATTTTCTTTCAACTCCAGTGTATAGAAAAACCAAACTACGACCTCAGAGCAGAGTATTAATGAAAAGCACAAAAAAAAAAAAAAACAAAAAAAAAAAAGAAAGAAAGAAAAAAAAGGAACTAAGTTCAGCGAGGGGTGTGGGAGGGGGGAAATTTTTCTTTTTAAAAATAATGAAGCTTAGGACATTTGTTTTTCATTTCAAGTGCTCTTCAGCACTGTCTCTCCCAATATAACAATCGTCATATTTTTCATTTTCCTCCACCTTCCCTCTCTCCTTTATTAAGTGTCTTTGTCCCTTGTGTTCCCCACTGGCAACCTTCTGCTTCCTCTCCTCTACCCTTTGGCAGCTGCAATACCTGTTGTCCTTTTGGGAAAGTAACTCAAGTGAAGCCTCACCTTTCATGCTGAGCATCTTCCTGGCCTGGCAGGAAAGGCTCTGTCCTGGGGATGCCCTCTGGTCCTTTCCCCTTAGCTTTTCTCTTTCCCAGTATACTCTTTCCTGCCCAACTTGTTTTCTGTTCTCCTTTTATTAGAAAGTACCAAGTGAATTTTATTAATGTGGGAGTGGAACAGATGCTAAAAGCTACCCAGGATTTTGTTTTTGTTTTAAATTTTGTGGTTCCCTTTCCTCCTCCCATGCGTAAAACGTTCTGTGTAACCTCCATTAAATTTGGTACAAAACCACTCGCCAGAGCTGTGGTGTCAGAAAAATAAAATATATTGTTTCTTACAAAATTGAACTGCCTTTTTTTGTTGTTGTTCACTTGAATTCCTGTTTGCTTAGTATTGGGCACATTGGTTGTTTGTGATCCAGAAACAAACTTTGTATTGGCTTTCATGTGTAGCATGACAGGAAGATGTCTAAAAGGCCTTCTCAGATAAAGCCTATTCCTTGCTGTGAGGAGTGCTCGTGCAGGTTTATCCTTTCTCAGTCCCTAAGCCTCGGTTATAAGCAATAGAGTCTTTACCACAGCTGACCTTTACCTCTGGGGCAGTTAATGGTGTATGTTAGGAATTTTTTGTGAGAGTTAATTTAAAGGTATGAAGCAATGTAAAAGGCCAGTGGTGTATTTTTAGCCATTTAAATAAGCTATGTGATGTCCCTGCTTCTTGCTAACCTGCTTCTTGCTAAGATGAAATACTACTATACCTGCAGTCACTGGGTTTCTGTAGTCCCTTCTGTGCCTCCTACTGCCTGTCACATCTACCAGCACCACTGAAGTCTATGCACCATTCACTTCCTACCACACTAACCTTCAACACATCACTGTGTATCCTACAAGGTACGTATCTAAGGGGCTTGCTGTTATGTTTCTGTGTGGTTAATTTTGTTCTGGTATGTGTATTGCTTTGAGTTGTTGTCAGTGTTTTTAGCTCACTGAGTGGGTGTCTGTGCACATGTTTGCTCTTAAATGAGAGAATTTTAAGCAAGGAGCAGCAGGTGCAGAGTCATCTGCAGACAAACTTGTATAAATTGCGCTCTGCTGGTGTTTCACAGTCTTGAGTTTTACCTGTGAATGTTGCAGTCTCTCACAGAATGTTTTTGAAAGCTGTTTTCTCTTCCCACCTTCAGCAGCTGTCCTGTCTTTAGTAACACAAGAGCCACAGATAACAAAAGTAGAGATGAATATTTGAGTACAACTGTCATCCCCTCTGTGTTACCTTGCTGATTTGAAGTAGGCGCTAAGCATCTTGGAGTTCACAAATTTAAGTTTTCTTAATTAGATTTCTATTGGGTAGTAAAATTATGTTGTAGAGAAACTAGGACAGTAATATGACTGCTTTCCTCTCACAAATTTAGGTATCTTTCTTGAGTTTTGGCCTTGACTAGACAGAACTACATAACAGCCAGCCATGGGTGGCCTCAGAGGAAAGGCTAAAGGTTAGGTGGCATTTGTCCACTTGTTGGGCTTTGAAGGCAGCTCTACTTTTTGCTGCACATACAGTGTTGAGTCACTAATGGTGTGTGGTCCTGCTACTGTTTTCCCAGGTGGAAAAGTCAAGGCAGGAGAGGATCAGACTGGGTACCCACTAGGCTGGCAAACAGATGGGTGGCCCCTGTAGGAGGCTGCCATAGCTGATGGGTTGCTCATCTCCTATAGCCCCCTGCTGGAGAATGAGCAGCTCTGCAGATAACTTTCCCATTTCAAACTAGTTGAATTCTTAAAAGATTCTCATAAATCTTCCTTCATGTACTTCATGTATATACTAACAATTCATCTTGATGGTTTCTGGTAAGCCAAGTTTACTTGGGGTTGAAATAGAAGAATTTTGAATATATTAGGGTTGTTAAATATTTTGAGACTACAATAACTGCATGGAAAACTGACAGGATTTTTAAAAATCAGTGGAAATGATAAAAGATTTTCAGATTCATGTAACCCTGTGAAAACTCAGCCAGTTTCCTCTCCTCTCCCAAAGTTTAGAATTTGCTTCCTATTTTACTCCAACTGAAAGTAGTGGGATGTTATAGCATTATTTCTTAAGACTAACAAAGAGTACTTTATGTGACATTTTCTGTAAAACAATATGAAGTAACTTGTTTGCATATGTAAATGAAAACAAACAGTTGTAGTAGTCTTGATCAAGCAGTTCTCCAAACCTCCCTACTCTCTTATGTAGCTTGGTGTAACTGCACTTGAGGGGTTTCATTAGGGCTGTTTTCATGGATACGCCACCTGTGCAGCGAGACAGGTTAGCTTAATGGTTTTGCTGTCACTGTGTGAAGTTCTAAATTTGCAGATATGGAATATTTTAAATACTCCCATTTTTCACTGGTCCACACAAATTGCTTTAGCTATACTTGGCTGTTTCAAACAAAAGAAATCACAGCAGCTACACAGTGGTGCTGTATTTTTTCCTTCCTTCCTTTTCTCTCTTTACTTTTCTTCCTTCCTTCCTTCCTTCCTTCCTTCCTTCCTTCGTCTGTCTCTGTCTCTGTCTCTCTGTCTCTGTCTATCTGTCTGTTTCTCTCTCTCTCTTTCTACTTAACCAGTAGCTGGAGAACCCCATGCAAGGTGGTCGCTGTGTCCCATTTAAACTGTGTATACTTTAGTCATTTCCTTGTTGTTCTCTATCTACTTTCAAAGTGCTGAAAGGAGAGGGAAGTTGTACTTAAGCCAAGGTACCATATACTCACCATATACTTGCTACCTCCTGTGTAGCAAGAAAGGTTGGAAAGAAGAAATGGGTGTCTGAGGCTAGGATGAAACAGGTATGCAAATGAGCCAATACATTATATTTAATGCAGTGAAGGTGTGAATAGGGTACAACAGGTCAGAGAGGAAGTTTCAAAGAAAAGGTGGATCTTTGAGCTGAGTCTTAGAGGAGGGAGATTTCCTGGAAAATACTGGTAAGAGGAAATGGGAACAGCAAGGGCCCACAGCACAGGATAGACTCTTTAAGGGAGGTAGACGTAAAAAATGAATGAGCTTAGAAAAAGGGGTAAGTTCATGAAGAACTCACTAAGGAGATGAATTTTGAGTTTTAAGCATGGCGGTGTGGGAGTGCCACTCAGTGGTGGAGCTCAAGTTTAGCAAGTGTGAGGTCCTCTGATCCTGAGAGAGTGTTAGAGAAAAGGGAAGCGGAGAGGGGAAGGGCGAGAGAGGAAGAGAGGAAAGTAAGTTTTAAGCAAGGCAATCAAGTGATCAGACTGAATCTTCAGAAAAATTATGCAACTGAAACGTGGAGGACAGGGTGAGATACAGAAAGAGGACCACAAGATCATTTGTAAAAATGTGCTTATTCTACAAATCTTTGGATTTACCTCCTTTGCTTTAAAAGATATCAAATTATATGTCTCATGCTGTTTAGACATCTTGAATCTTACTGCACTTTCTTTTCTCTAGCCCAGATCTAATTCTTTTCAAAGTCACAAACTCATATTTAAGAAAAGTCGTGACATGTCAATTCAGTAGTAAATTTTTAATAACACATTTAAAGCAAATGGTTTTATAAAGCCAAAAACCACTTAGTGGCCAAACATTTCCTACTGGAGGGATAATAATGCTGAAGGTATGCTATGAGAATTAATAAAACTGTCTCTGCTTAATATGGCTTATCTGTGTTACTACTAAACAGACATGAATCTGCTTTCTGCCCTATAGGTGACTACACTTCATCTGTCCATTTTTTGGATCAATGCATAACTGTACTTGGCAACCAAATGCTAGAGGAATAAGGTAAGCTCTTGTGTGATCACAGGAAGAAGTCAGAGAAGGTTCAGAAATGTTCTCACATATACTTAAACCATGAAGAAATTCAGTTATTTTATCAAAGAGAAAAGAGCTAAGGCTTCCCTTACAAAAACACTACTTCAGAGCCCCAGAGCAATTATAAGGGATCTTAGGGTCTCAAACAGTAGGCTAAAGGAAAAAATATTACAAAAAAAGAACAGGCTTAAGAAACAGCTTAAGCAAAAGGAAAGTATAGTACAAATCTTTGCTTGAGCTGGGGTGGGACATTATGTTGGTGAAGCTAAGGCAGCTAACTTGATGTATTTGTGTGTGGGTCTAGAAGATGTGATTCTCACATCTTGTAAAAGGCAAAGTCAGTGAGTCAAAACAAAACAACAAAACGCCTTGAGAAACAGCCTTCTGCCTATGGTTTTATACTAGCTATTCTCCAGTGGCCACAGTAGGGTTAGAGGGCAGAAGCAGCTTATAAATCTCAGTAGTAACCAGTGTTTAATTAATGTGTATAAGGATGAATTTAAGTTTCTGGAATCTTTAAGATAAATTTATGTATTTGCTACAGCCAAGTTCTTCCTGTAAAAATCTCCTGGGAGGCTGTGTTTATTTGTCATCTTTACCAAGTGTCTAGTAGTTTTCGTTTTCCTCACTTCCCGCATACATAGTAACTCCACAGCTACCTGGTGAGCACCTGTCCTGGAGACTCCTGCCCATCCATGAGTCAATCTGCGATCTAAGCACTTGCTCTCATCTGTGCTTCAAGAACACTGGAGTCCTGGTTTCTGCCTGCTCAGTTCTCAGTGCTAAATATAGTTGGGCTGGGCTCAGCACCTCACTACAGACTGAATCATTACCACTGTTCTGTCAAAATGTATGTGGTCAATGGGGATTGTGGGTTGATTACTGTGATTTCTTTTGTTCTCCAAATACAAATGGTCTCTTAGGCTTTGGTAAAGTTCACTTAAATTGCTGTTAGATATTGAGATATTAAAAAATTTTACAAACATTTACATGTGTATATATACCTTTAATATGCTAAAATGTGTAAATATGTCGATTAAATGCTATTCAACCCAATGCAATGAAGATTAATTTGCTCTCTTAATTCCTGCTGTACTTGGTACCTACAGTGCCTTTAACATACAATGAACCTTATTTAAAAGTGATAACACAATGCAAAAATACAAAGATCACATTCATTCAAAGGATGAACCAGGAGAAATTATCTAACATTTAGCTTTGTGCAACATAAAATCCATGATTTTAGCTAGAACCTTTAAAGAAAGTATTACTATCACTTAAGAAATATGTACGGACCTCATCCCATGACCCTGTGCTAGGCACAATGGATTACACTAGCTGCTTATAAGGAACCTACCTCTAATTGAAGAGATAGGAGAAATAACTGCAGAACAAGTCTGTATTCTATCTTAGCATTAGCATGTTCTATATTTACATTCCATATAAAAATAACTACTAAATTGGAAATAAAGACAGACTAGACATAAGACTATTATCACACATGTGATTCACTATCTGCATTAT